CAGCTCCCTCCTTCCTTTGCCCAGACCCCAGTCCCTTTACAAAAACACCATTTCCCCTAAATCCTAATTAGGTCACTGTGACCCCACATAAGCTCCCTCAAACCCCTTTGTGTCCCAAACAGCACAGCCTCCCAAATGCTTTATCCAGACACCCTCATCACGAGGTTAAGCATATTCCAGTCCAACGAATTAGCAGATCTGTGAGCTCCGTCTGATTAATAAAACTGAAATGCCTAGGGAAAAGAAAAAGATAGGGAAATCATTCCTAGGTCTGTTCCTGCTGCAGAACAAACACCCTTCCCCTGCAGGGAAGCCTCTCCTGCTTCCCTCTTGTGACCCTTTCCAAAATCTCAAGCACGGCTGGCAGCCCACAGACCTCCCTGTGGGGGCCTATCCCAAAAAAACACCAAGAGGGCTTTATGATGCATCTCTCAGCTTGCAGGAAATATTCAAACTGAGTGAGGAAAAAAGTAAATTTTGCCTATTTCTGGGCTGCTGCCATGAAGCACTCCTGCAATATGAAACAATGCAATGCTGTGGTGCAGGAGTAGTACAGAGCAGCTCAGAGTGGCTTTGAGGTGCCCACACTCCCTTCTCTGAGCATCCCTCACCACGAGCATCCTTCATCCCGCTCCCTCAAAGCTCATGCTGCCTCCCTTTTCCCTGTATCACTACTTGTCCCACTTTTGCTCTGTCCAGACCTCACCAGTCCGTGCTGCCTCACCAAGTGAAGCTGTGCTGGTTTTAACACCCCTCTACATGCTCCTAAAACCAGCCCTGGGACCTCCCAGCGTCGCTAGGCACGGCTTATCTCCCCAGCCCCGCTGAAAGGGCCGGCTCAGGCACAACACCCGACCTATGCACAGGCTCCTTAACTCCCCTGAGCACTCAGGGACTATTAACAGCACTTCTGCTGCTCAGCACAGGACTCTCACGAGCTCATTTAAGGGGGCTTTGCACTGCTGCCCCTCCTTTGTACTTATGGCACAGACCTTGCTGGAGGACCCCGTGCTAATCCTGAGTTCCACCCCTCCAATGCAAGGAAGCATTTTCAGATATTCCAATATTAATTTCCAATATATTCTTTTTTTTTTTTTTTTTGCAAATATGACAAGACAGGCACGGAAAATAAATAAAAATAAAGAATCGTTGTAGTGCTATTAATAGCGACTACTCCTATTACCATAAGCTCAGGGTCACCGGGGTGTTGTGGATGCAAGTCAGGGAACTCACAGTAATGCTCCCCCAAAGGGATTTCCCAGCTCAGCTCCCAGTTTGCTGCCGGCAGAAACGGCCCTGTCAGCTCTTTCATCAGGTTAACAAGCTCTGCCTCAAAATTAGTTTTGAGGTCTTTCCCCCCCCAACAATCCTATTACCCCAGCCGTCCCAGGATCCTGCAGCCGTGTGCTGATCTCCTCTCAGATTTGTTCCTGCCCAGCTCACAGCGATTTGTTTTTCTGCTGACACGGCCCTTCCAGTCAAATCAGTTTGCTTCCCTCCCTGGTGTTTACATTCCTGCTGTATTTATAGACAGGCATCACGTCCTCTCCCAACCTCCTTGGCCAAACAGAGATGATATTTTTCAGCCTCTGGCCTAAAATAGGCCCTTTTCCCCGGCCCTTCCCGGCGACCCTTTGCTGCACCTGCTGGATTTAAACTTTTGAGGGCAAAGACCAGAGCTCCGTGGCACATTCCCAAAGAGATTTCACAGGGTGCTTAAATATTTCCTCGTCTTTATTTTGCTTATTATGCTTTAGGGTCTCATTTTCCTTTTCCCCCAGCAGCATCACATACATATGGCACACAGGGAATGCACTGAGGTCTTTCTCCTCCTTTTAGTTTCCACTCATGAGCCCACAGTTCAGTGGAAAATCTGCTTCATTTTCCAAATTCATGAGCTCACCTTCTGCAGTACAGCATTTTGCCCTGATTTTATATCACCTCTAACCCCTGCCCTTGCCTTCACAGCCCTTCCCCAGGCCACAAGAGCCACCCTGACCCTCAAACTCTCACTGTAATCTCCTGTCAGCACAGGGCTGATGCTTAAGGGGAGGCAGACAGACAGCAGTTCCTGTATTTTCCTGGCCTAGAAAGTCTGCTCCTTTCACAAAGAAAGAAACTGGGTGACAGCAGGTTGGCCTGGCATCCTCTATGGCAAAATCCATGCCACCCTGTATCCCGTTTCCTAGTACCTGCTGGCAGCCAGCAGGAAAGAAACCCAAGGGAAAGCATCTCCATGCTGGGTTCTTATGCCAGGGATTTAATTTTCATATAGCTCATTAACTCACCCAGCAGCAAGCTTGCTGCCCACACTTCATAACTCCAATTATTCCCTCCATCCCTCTTTCATCCCACAGCCTCCCAAGCCTTGCAAGCTCAAGAAAATAAAATCATCTCAATGACTAGGTCTTTTTATCCCCCTTTTTCAAGCCCTTTCTGTTCTCCAGTCGGATGATCCCACCTCTGACTTCTCTGTCCACAAAGGGCTACCTTAAGTATTTCATGTGAATGCTGCAGGGAGAAATACTCACTCCATTTCGGGTTATTATCTCACCAGAATGCCATATATTATCCAGCAATCTCCAGCCAAGCAGGGGGTCTGCTGTATCTCCACATTATTTTGTTTGGAGCACACAGATTGCTCACTATTTGGTTCTCACCACAGAGAATACACTAAAAAGAAAAATAGAAAGCCTCCACTTAGGCTGCTGATATTATCCTAGGGGGGGGGGGGGGAAAAGAAAGGAGCAATTGCTAATGGCTCAGGATTCCTCCCAAACACATAGAGTGTCCCGAAGTCTTGCTCAAACTGTAACACTTGATGCCTGGAAGAAGAAGAAGAGCTGTGGTTGCCCCGTCCCTGGAAGTGTTCCAGGCCAGCTTGGACAGGGCTTGGAGCAACCTGGTCCAATGGAAGATGTCCCTGCCCATGACAGAGGGGGTTGGAATGAGATGACTTTTAAAGATCCCTTCCAACCCAAACCATTCCGTGATCCTAAGCACCTCAGTGAACAGAGATGCACCAGCATCAACCCCAGCCCAGCAAATGGAAAGCTGCCTGCATGGTCTCCATCGCTATGGCCAAGGGAAAATCCTGCTGATTGGAGAAACGTGGAGCCAGCTGAGGCAGAAATCACAGCTTCCTTCTGGAGAGGCATCAGGAAATGGGACATGGCTCCTTGGATTTCATGTTTCTTAAGGGAAGGGACCCCACGAGCTTTTGTGCTCCCTGGCAGAACACACCTCAGGGGCTTCACAGGGATTTCATAACTCCATCAGCGCGAGTCGTTTACGGACTTAAACAGATGAGACATTTTTCATGCCCATGGTAATCAATTCCTCCGCTCAATTAGCCTTGCAGATCTAAGAAAAGATGGATCTTATTTCTAGACCACTAAAAAAAAAAAAAATCAGCATCTCCACAGCATGTCTGTGCTCATGGAGGCTCAACAACCAGCCCTTCACCCTGCAAAGAGGGATCCAGGTGCCAAGGAGGGCAATAAAGGGAGAGCAAGGGCAGACAAGATCCTGCCCTGAGGCTGGGAAGGGGTGGAAATTATCCAAGGCAGGAGCACATATTGCAGACAGTGCCTGTCCTCAGTTGCCCACTCCTGGACTTCACCCGTCATTTGCCTTTGCTGGAGGGAACAGCTCGGAAAAATCCATGTCCGTGTCCTCTGAGACCGTGGCTGGGGACAGAGCTGGTGTTGCAGCTCTGCCTCCAGCAGGATTAGTGCTGGGAGAGAGGGAAAGGGATTTAACCTGCTGAGGATGAGCTGACAGGGGACAGGGAGAACCTCAAATACAAAATAAAGATGGCAAACTGCTTCCACCCCTTGCCTCGCTCCCTTCCCTGAGCTAGCTGGACTTTCTAAGTCTGTGTCCATGCTCCTGGACAAGAGGCTGGGGCACAGTGGTGTCACCAGGAGTGAGCAGTGCAGCCCAGAGCACAGCCCAGGCAGCTGTGTCCCCACCATGTCCCTGGTCTCATGGGTCACATTGTGACCTCAGCCACCAGCCACAAACACAGCATCTTCTGCCAGTTGCAACCCAAAACCAAAAAGAGATAAAGAAATCCTCTAGCACACACAGAGCCCACCCCTCAGCCCAGAGCAGAGCACCCACCACGGTCCCCTCTGCATGGCAGAGAGGCAGAGGAGGGAAAACGTTGGGGTGGGGGGTGTCTGACTGCTTCCAGACTTCTTACACCTTCCCCAGAAACATCTGGCGATGTCCAGTATCAGTGCCAGACACCGAAGGAGACAGACAGGGCTTAATCCTGCACAGCGACGCTCAGCATTCCCACCCGGGGCTGATCTGATCCCTGTGGACATGTGTGCTCTGATTTGATTAATCAGAGACGATTCCTTGCTGCTTTCCCTCTCTCCCCAACTCCAACAGCAGCTCTCCAGGAGGACAGAACTGGTCGTGTGACACAGAATCTGTGTGGGGTGTCCCTGCAGGAGTGGAGCATCTGTCCCCACTGCCCTGACCCTCTGCATGAGCTGCACAGAGCTCAGGGATTAGCAAAGGTCCTGCAGCCTGGAGGCTTCCATCCCTATCCCACAGCCTGCCTTTGTGCAGTCCTAATACCCTACAACAGCTCAGAGCAGTTTTTCCCCGGGACCAAGCACATTTTCTGCATGTCCTCTGCAGCTTCCACTCTTCCATGCCCACCTGGAGAGGTGCTGGTTTTCCTGTATGTATCAGTGGCTTTAACATTTGCATCCTTTGGTCCCAGCTCGGGAAGGGAAGACAGAGATCCCAAATGTTGCTGGGCTGACTGGGCAGGTTGGACTGGGAAAATTCCCTGTTGCTGTAAGCCGTGGAAACTGGCAACCCACAGGTGTTCTGTCCTTCCTGAGAGGATTCATCCTGGTGTCTAAGAGTGAGAGATTAATTAAGATTAATCTAAAATTAACTCCATGGCCCTAAACATAAGAAGGATGTGGACCTGCTGGAGTGAGTCCAAAGGAGGCCATGAAGATGTTCTGAGGCATGGAGCACCTCTGCTCTGGAGACAGGCTGGGACAGCTGGCTTTGTTCAGCCTGGAGAAGAGTAGGCTCCAGGGAAATCTTAGAGGCCCTTCTAGTGCCTTAAGAGGCTCCAAGAGAGCTGAAGAGGGACTTTGGACAAGGGCCTGGAAAGACAGAAAAAGGGGGAATGGGTTCAAACTGTCAGAGGGCAGGGTTAGGTGGGATGTTGGGAGGAAAATCTTGGCTGTGAGGGTGGTGAGGCCCTGGCACAGGTTGCCCAGAGAAGCTGTGGCTGCCCCAACCCTGGAAGTGTCCAAAGCCAAGTTGGATGGTGCTTGGAGCACCGTGGTCTAGTGGAAGGTGTCCCTGCCTGTGGCAGGGGGTGGAACTGGAACTGGCTCTTTAAGGTCCAATCCAAACCATTCCATGATTCTCTGATTCTATGAAAGCAGGAAGATTATATCCCCACCAGCTCTTCTGTTGCCTATGACCATTGCAATTCCAGGCTCCCTCATTTTCCATGACAGACTCACACAGGTTTGAACAGGTTATATCTCAGCCTCAGGAAACCCTGACATTGACTGGATGCTGCAGTGGGTCACCTTTTATCAGATCTGACACGTCATCCGCCAAAATCCTACTCAAAAAGCACTGGATGCCCCTGCCCATGTCCCTCTCCCAGATAATTATCACCATCCCTGTGCCCCTATAGCCATGCCATTGGGGCATCCCCATCCCCCTGTACCACTGGCTTCAAAATCCAGCCTCAGATTAAATAATCCTGCATTTGGTAGGGAAATAATTGGTGCCACTCTGTGACCTACTGTGTTTGGAAATGAAAGCCTCTGTTCCAACCCAATTAGCATGATACTCCAAAAAGGCAAAAGACAGAGCTATGATAGCTCAGGGACAAAAACAGTCAGTGGATTTGGATTGGATGGGGAAAAAAGGTCACACAGGCATCACAACCTTACAGCAAACCCTGTCCCAGCTGTACTTCTGGACTGAGCGGAGGGAGGATTCATCAAGGACCTGAGGATGCTGTGAAAAGGCATCGCACCCCGCGGCGGGGATGCATCCCCACCCACTCCCACTGGGACGTGCCCCAGGAGTGGAAAGACCACAGATGCCTTCTCCAGTGTTATGGACACCCTTTGCTGAGGGGTGTCCCCAGGGAGGGAATGCTGGAGGCTCGGTTCCTCCTGGTGTTTGAAGCAGAATCTCCATCCTGAGGCGTCGAACGCCGCGTGTGAGCGGCCTCACGTCGGCAGCTCCCGCTCCGGGGCTGCTAAAGACGGCGTCGGATCCGCAAAACCCGGCGCTTACATGGAGTTATCGGGCTGTAATCCCAGCTGCCTTGCATAATGGGTTGCATTACATGTAATCCATACACTAATACGCTCTGAGCGGGAGCCAGCGCGGATATCGGGCTGTTTACCTCGGAAAAACAACTCACCCCTCTGCCGGCAGGAGGTTGGGGCGTCCCAAAGGACCTGCTGAGGGAGCTGCCTCTGTAAAATAAAGCAAACTGGGGGATTCTGGGCAAAAACTGCTGGTGCATCCCTGGAACTGTTCCAGGCCAGGTTGGATGGGGCTGGGAGCAACCTAGTCTAGTGGAAGGTGTCCCTGCCCACGGCAGGGGGTTGGAACGAGATGGTCTTTGAATTCCCTTCCAACCCAAACCATTCTGGGATTCCATATAACAGTTATGGTATGTAAATGTATTTGGGATGCTAATATATAGCTATACATCATGTAGATAGCAGGCAGACCATTTATAACGCACAGGCCACATATAGCACATAAACAATATGTAGGACATAAACAATACATAGCACATTTCTGTGGCTGCGTGGAAGGATTTACACAGGGAAGGAGTATGAAGGCAGGAGGGAGAGGGCAGATGTTCCCCAGGGCAAACCCTGACCACAGGTCCAAGAGGATTGAGAGCAGAGGGCCCAGGGAAAAAAAAAAAAAGGCGAAAGAGCAAATAGAGCTAAAAAAACATCTGTGGCAAAATAAAGCTGACTTGATTTATGGATAGCATTTTAAATTATAGGCTTTGCAAAATGCACGGGGTTTGTGTTTTATTAGATTTGCAGCCAGAAACAGGAGAAAGTCGTGGCATGAGGGAAGGAGGGGAGGACACAGCTCAACTTCCGCGGCCCTGCCCACCTCCCATCCAGGGTGGGAATGGGAGCCACACCGTCCCAAAGGGAAACAGATGGGCTCTAGATAATAAGGTAATGGAGAGCACGAGATTTAACCTGCTTTGAAAGACGTGTTACAGCTGTGACAGCTTCGTGTCTGTGCCTTGGGGGCAAAGAGCTTATTCCCACCCCACCTCCTCCACAGGCACAACCTCTGCAGCCAGCGTGGTTTCCCCCGGGGCTGAATGCAGTTGTGTGTCCTCATAGTAAAGGTATTTGCAGCCAACAAATGGTCTGGCAATCCCAGTAGCTAATTAGCATTTTACAGCCTAAATTATCTCTTACACCCTCCCCCCCACACACAGTTTTCCAATACTCCTGTGGCATCCTGCTAAGATTGGCCGTGTTGGTTTCTTTTGCTGTTCCAGAACCGAGTGAAACTTTAAGACTAAAGAAAAAAACCCTCTTAATTAAAGAGTTCATTTGAAAATAACATCCCCCATGATTTTTACGGAGGGAATGTGTTTCACGTGGCGTTTCACACACCACTAAAACTGAAGAATTTTTGACCAGCCGATGGTTTCTGTTGGGAGTGCTGATGTTTTGCTCATATCTGTGTGTACTCCCATGTGCCAGCTATTGCCATCTGGGAACAGCCTTTTACTACAGTAGATTTATCACACAGAGAAATAAGCTCAGTTGTCAACTTCTCTAATAAAGATGAGAGGTGCAGCACAGATCTAAAAGCAAAATACTGTCCCATATTCCCTATTAAGCTGAATCCTGTCAGGTTTCTCCTGTGTCTCTATTTGTGTTCCTTTCTCCCAAGACGTAATGAAAAAGAAACTGTGAGGCTGAAGGAAAAGGAACAATGTTCTTTAATCTAGAAAGAAAAGTGATTTTTCCTTGCAAGGAAGTGCACTTGGTGAGTAGTTCAAATGAATTAGATGTGAGGAAGGAATTCTTGGCTGTGAGGATGGTGAGGCCCTGGCACAGGTTGCCCAGAGAAGCTGTGGCTGCCCCGTCCCTGGAAGTGTCCAGGGCCAGGTTGGACAGGGCTTGGAGCAACTTGGGATAGTGGGAGGTGTTCCTGCCCATGGCAGGGGGTTGGAATGAGATGGTCTGTAAGGTTCCTTCCAACCCAGGCCATCCTGGGATTCTATTTTTCAGAGATGCCAGACCTCAGCCCACATGGGGCTGTACAACATCAGGTCAGCAGCAGGAGAAGGATTTGGGGTCCAGAAGAGCATTTCCAGGCTGTTTCTGAATAGCTGAGTGTGCTTCTGGGCTCCTGATTCCCACCTGACCACACTCCCAGTTGGTTTGTAAGGTCAAATGAGCCCTAAGGCTTTGGGTCTGATCACCAGCATCACCATCTCCTCTCTTATCTGCCAACCAACCATGAAAGCAGCATCATGCAAAAGGGTATGGTTTACCATCATTCTTCCTTTTTCTTCTTCTTTTTCTTTTTCTCTTTCTTCTTTTACTTTCACCTTTACTTTTTCTTCTATTTTTTTTTTAACTTACCCTTCTCCTTTCTCTTTTGCTTTTTCTTCTTTTCTTCACCCTTAGTTAGAAGCAGATCAGCATCTCATTCCCCTCTGCAAAGCACTGTGAGATCCTGGCGAGAAAAGCCCTTTGCCAGGTGCTGATGTGACCAGCCAGGTCCCGGGTTGGAAAATGCCAAACCTTAAACATATATTTAAGGCAAAGCTCTTCAGCAAAGCCCTCCAGCACTGAAATCTCTGGGACTTCAGTATGTGCTCCAATCCATGCTCTGGAACTGGGGCTTGCACTGCCAAAGAGCTGGAGAGTCCCTGGAAAGGGGATTGTCTCCCTTCCCTTCTCAACAGGATGCCTGAGTATTTCATAGCCCCAGGATGAAGAAGGGAGGGCACCTGTGTTTAAAGAAAACATCTTTAACACAGGCAGGTTTGTAGCTAAAGGCAAAAGCAGCAGGAATGCTGCCTGTGTCGCCTCCCAGCCTTCCCTAACCCCCTGCCCAATTTCAGGCTGCTCAGAAAATGCCAATGTCACAGAAAATAATAATAACAGGAATAACCTCCCTCTCACACTGCACTTTGCAAGGCCGTGACTGTATGTTCCATGGCCATCATATATTTAAAAGGCTTCCAGGGGGCAGCTATATGTCTTCTGGTTTGCTGCACAGAAATGTTATTCTTTCAACAGTGTTTGCCCTTTGTATTCCCAAAGCCGTGGAATCCTCTTCTCCCGCTTCCCACCACTCTGTGCAAACAGGAGGACAGCCACAAATATCCAGTCATCAGGGCGCTTAGCTCTGCTGCCAGCCCCTAAAGCTGGTGGAAAAGTGCTTTGCAGGCACTTTCCCCCTCTGCTGGGCTATGGCAAGGCAGAGGGAGAGCCAAGGATGAGCCACAAATCCAGGAAGCTGTGGATGACCCATTCCTGGAAGTGCTTAAGACTAGGTTGGACAGGGCTTGGAGCAACCTCCAAATGGAAGGTGTCCCTGCCCACAGCAGGGAAGTTAGAATGAGATGGGCTTTAAGAGCACATGGCCAGAGGTGCAGCTATTTTATTTATTTATTTTGAAGCCCTATTTTAATGGTCCATTAGTCACACACTCATAAAACAGGCAGTTTTCTTGTGACTGGTTAGCAGAACGGACAGCAAATTGTCTGTCCTTGGCCAGCAGCAGCAGCTCTTTCTGCCCAAATTTATGCCAGATTGGCAAATCTCCCTGTGATTATTTCATTTGTTGAGCTTCTGTGGCTGAAAACACAAGAAATTCTGTGAAACATGAGCTTTTGGGGCAAGGCCAGGTAGGATGGGGCTTGGAGCAACCTCACCTAGTGGAAGATGTCCCTGCCCATGGCAGGGAGTTGGAACAAGATGGGGTATAAGGTCCCTTCCAACCCAAACCATTCTGGGATTCTATGATGCAACTCTGCTGGAAGGACTGAAAGGATGGGCCACTGTTGGATTTCAGCTTGGCTTCT